GGCTGTGACTCCTGAAGGTCCATTCCCAAGGACAGATGGGACAGCTGTTTGCAGCTGGCAAGACCTGTTCCCTCAACACACACTTGTCCTTCTATTGCCTCTGAGTTGGATGATGTGGGACTGGGGCCTGGAGGAGCTTGGGAATGGTCAAGGGCCAGGGACTGCAGAGACCACTGCCACCGTCTTAGGGCTTGACAAGCCCTGCAGAATCATTTGCACAAAGGAGACTTGGCACTTCAGCTCAGCTTGGCAGCTCTGGTTCCCTGGTGACCTTATCTTAGTTCTTAAAACTGGCATCTGCTTAGGTTTGTAAACACATCGGGGGCAATGTGGCCACAAAATCAAGTCTCAAGAGCCCTCACCAAGTCTCCCTCAGCTCATGTGCCAATGTGAATACAGGTCACAGTCCCATGTGTCCATTTGCAGACATGATCTGGGATGGAAATCTGAGGAGTCATGAGATTTTTCTTGGGTTCACCTCCCCTCCCCAAAACCTGCTTGGTACAGAGGGACCTAAGTGGGAAGTCCCCTGGTACTCTTCAGGGATGTCCACAGTGCTCAGGCCACAAGACCTGAAGGGGTCAAGAGGGGGCCAACACATGCATCACTCAGGGGAGGCAGCAAAAGTTCAGGACACAAACAATTCTTGAGCAGGGCTCTGACCTTTATGCTGAGGATGAAGATGAAGACTTAAATGCTGCCTCTAAAAACCAATGAGCTGCATGGAGAAGAAAGACATATGCAGGTTGCAACCAGTGAGAAGTTGGGAAACTTTAAATGGCCAAGTGGCCAAGTCATTGAAGAGTTGTGTAGAGGAAAAGGGCAGTCCAAGGTGGATATCCAAACCAACCTGCTCAAGCAAGTTTTCTTTCCCTGGGAATTCAGAATTGGAATTTGGTGAGACTCAGCTGGCCCCCAGAACTGAGGCCTCATAATTAGGAGCTGGAAAGGCATCTGCCACCATTAGGCAACGAAGCAGAGAAAGCTGATTTGTACAAAAATAAAACCAGTTTGCAGAGACACAAGAATAAAATGGGGAAGCTGGGAGAAGTAGTGACCCATGCGGTTCCAGAGAGGGGGCTGTAGTTCTGGTGCTAGCCCAGCCTTCACTGTGCGAGAGCCCCAGACTCTTGGACTGCAGGGTCTGGTTCTGTTTAAGCAGAGTGGCTTTCTGTTACCACCAAACAAGCCTGAACTAAGGAATCTCAGAGATTGTCTGATCCAGTCTCCTCAACTTACAATGAGATTCTGAGGCCCTGAGAGGTGCAGTGAGGTGCCGTCAGCCACACAATCAATTTGAAGCAAATCCAGGACACAAAGCCAGATGCTCTTTGCCTCCTTTGCTCTGTGGCACGTCCGGGGGGCAGGAATGAGGTGGGAGCACAGACCTGGGGTCAGGTGGGTCAGAATACAAGTCAATGGTGTGGCTGCAGGTAAGTCAGTTCACTTCTCTGAGACTTAGTGTTTTCATCTGGAACATGAGGATAGGAACATCTAGTTCACAGCGGGTTGTGAGGTTAAATGAGAGCATATGCAGAGGAATTAAGGTGTGTTTTTAATGCCATGACAACAATGATGACGAGGACTGCCTTTTCCTAGATTAACAGGCCTTCGATTCTCAAGGTCAGTTTCCTGACACCTTTACTAACTCCAGTCATAGCATAGCCAGGTGTGCAATGAAATGAATGTTGCTCTACTTTAAGACATAAGCAAATGACCTATAGCTGTTGTTTTGAGAGGAGGAGGATGTGCATATTAAGAAATCAAACAGTAGGAAAATACACAAGTGGTAGGGGGATTGGGACTGGCTAGAGGACAGAATGGGTCCCTTGTGACACAGCATCTCACTCCTGTGACCTGTGTCCCATTCCCATAATTGGCTCTCCCCAGCTCACCCACGGATGACAGGTGCTGTACCCCAGGCCCTGACCCAAGCAGTCACCAGAGAAACATGAGGGTGAGTCATTTGGCAGCAATCAGGAAGCCAGAGGCCAGGCTGTGTCATCCATTCCATCAGTGCCATGGGCTCGTCATGTGCCCACACACAGCCTCTCTGGGTCACAGTCTGCTGCCAGCCCTGGAAGGTGGGTGAGAATGGGCTCAGGCATCTACTACCCATGATGGGACCACAGACCAATCTCACTCAGACTCAACAGGTCTGATTACACCCATTTCCATGGCAACAAGCTACCCATTCACCTTCCTAAGGGGGTCCATGCTGCCTGGCTCCAGAGGCCCCTATTGCTTTTCTGTTTGAGCCTTCAGTGTTTCTAAGGTGATTCACCCTCCTACATGTGTGATCAAGGTGACCATTGGAACTTCTTTTTATATTAAAATGCAACCCAACCAAGTTCAATCTCCAGAACTGAGATAAAACAGCGAGTGTGAAAGCCCCTGTTGGAGAAGACACAGTTGGAGAAGTGCCCTCAGCAGGTGATGGAGTCAGAACATCTGGCTTTAGGTCCTGGATTTCCTTCAAATTGATTGTGTGGCTGAGGGCACCTCACTGCACCTCTTGGGGCCTCAGAATCTCATTGTAAGTTGAGGAGACTGGATCAGAGACTGTCCATTTGAGACTTTAATATTGAGCTTTTAAAAATGACAAAGAAGGGTTTTGGGTTTTTTGTGGGTGATGAATTTATGGGGAGATGAACAGCTCTGCGTGAGACATACCAGATGCCTGAAAAAAGGAAAAATTATAGATGGCTGCCAGGTTTTCACTACAAGGGTACGCGTTGTCATTTAATAATAAATACTTAAAAATCAGGAACAACGTAAGTGGACACCAATTGGCTAAATAAATTATGGCATACCCAGAAAATGGAATGCTCAACTGTTAATAATATCTTGTTGAAATACATTTAATGGCCCTAACCAGTTTTGCTCAGTGGATAGAGCATTGGCCTGCAGACTGAAGAGTCCCAGATTTGATTTTCCAGTCAAGGGAACAGACCTGAGTTGCAGACTTGATCCCCAGCCCTGGTTGGGGCATGTGCAGGAGGCAACCAATCGATGTGCCTCTCTCACATCAATGTTTCCCTCTTTCTACCCCTCCCTTCCATGCTCTCTAAAAAAGAATGGAAATATATCCTCAAGTGAGGATTAACAAAAAAATAAAAAAGAAAGAATATATTTAATGCCATCAAGAGATGTTGATTATATAATG